CCCCCCCCCCCCCCCCGCGTGGTTCGCTTGGTTGACACGCTTGGTTTCCTTGGCCCACCGTACGCGTACTTTACTTGGTCCAACACACGTACCGCGAACCAACCACCTTGGACCACTGCAGCTGCGTATGGGCGGGAGCGGTGCCTATTGACCGAACCAGATCACCCGACTCTCTCGCCGACCCGGCCATCTATTGCCCGGCACGCCCGTTTCTTTGTTTGTGAAATAGGTACTCTGCGTGGATGCTGGCCACTTGAAGGGCGACTGGAACGGTATGATGCTGGTCGCGACGAGCAAGGACGCCGACACCAAGCTGGTGCACGTTGCGACCAGCATCTGCGACAAGGNGCACGCCCGTTTCTTTGTTTGTGAAATAGGTACTCTGCGTGGATGCTGGCCACTTGAAGGGCGACTGGAACGGTATGATGCTGGTCGCGACGGGCACGGACGCCGACACCAAGCTGGTGCACGTTGCGACCAGCATCTGCGACAAGGAGAACACCGACAACTACTCGTGGTTCTACTTGATGATGAAGAACAACGTCGACATGGCGGAGGTACTCAACAGCCCGAAAACCACCCTCTTCACGGACAAGCACAAGTCGCACGAACCTGCCATCACCCTTCACGCGCCCAACACTGTGTGGAGGTGGTGCCTTCGTCATCACATCAAAGCACTTCCCGAGGCCCCTGGACAGGTGAGAGGAGTTGTGACCCTGTGCCTCTGTTGGTGTAGGCACTTCGCACACAAGTGTAAAAGTGTATTCACCTGTACAACATACGACTCACACCCTTCTCTTTGTATTCGAAAGATGGAAGTAAACACAAAGTGCAGGTTCCTCTGTCCTGTCTCTCGTCACAACCGAAGAGCCTGTCTGTCTTTGTCCCCCTGAATTCTTGCAACACCAAAAGCCCACCCACGACCGACATATTTCGGGGTTCGCCTCGTATGTACCGCTCGGGCGGGTGTGCACGTTTATCTCCTGTGCATTTCAGCTGCAGTACATTGCTCGCCCCTTGCGGCTGCCTCTCGCCCGGGAAAGGACTACAACCTACCAACCCGACGTGCCTTTTTGTGTGTTTTCAACATGTATTATTTGCATCGACCGCACCAACCGGCTGACAAGATAGACGTCAGTCACAGAGCGTGTGTGTTCGTGCCGTTCCTCTCTCCCGGTAGCAAACACCCTCAAGTCTCTCCCCCTCATGACCACTTCGCAACCTTTATATCCATAACTGTATGTACGGCAGCAGCAGCAAAGTTAAGAGTTGATGAAACGATGCCTCTCTGTGTCTTGGGGCTGGGCGGTCGTCGAAAACGATTTCCAAAATACGGTGCTATCTCATACTGAGCATGGAGAGCAATTGCGATGGCACGGGGGACCATAAATCTTGGGCACGAATTTTGGAGGGTTTGGTTGACATTCGCGTGCAGATTCCTCTGCTTAAAACCGGTGGGTGCGTGTGTTGTCAGACGAAAACCTTGGGTTGAAAAGGGGTACGAATGTGTACCACAACTTTTCATTGAGATGTGCCGAAGTCACGTGTAGCTGCTGTGCCAAGCATGCAACAGTGCACTTTGTAGTTGGAGTCTTGTAGTTGTATCCAATCTAAGCTCGTGTATCCTATTTGTGTTGAATGTGTAAGTGTTTTGACCTGATGTTGGGCATTACTTTGTGTTGGTTTCCACTCTTCCCAAAGTTGCAACACCCATACCGTATATTTCCTGCGACGATCTAGCGGGCCCGTAGCTTTTCGCTCAAAACAGAATGCGTGTCCTGACATCCTGTTCTTCTCCCGACTTTTCATGTGCTCTCGTTTGCCTCGGTAGACTGTGACCCACTGGCTCTACCACGCAGCCAGGGCGCCAACCCGCACCAAGTTCATGGACACCAAGGTCAAGCCAACGAAGCCGAAAGCCTACGCCGCTCTATTGGACCCGAACAAACCCCACGAACTTGTCAAGTGGACGCACCACGCTGGACCCACCGACACAGCCATCGGGGGTGTCGTGTCGTCCAACGCGGCCGAGCAAAACATGGTTATGGTAGGCCTGCAGGTAAGGGTTGATTGTTCGTAGGGGTTGGACGGGTGTCCTAACAGCTGTTTTAGCGTTTGTTCGACCAACGTCCCAAGTGACGGCTGTCGAAATATGTCCTCGGCGAACGCAGTTAGAGACAACTTGATTCTTTCTACTCTTGGCGAGTCGAGCGTGCTTTAGTGTGGCCTCATCACCCCATCGTGTTGAGTAGTATTTTCAATTGGTGGCGAGCACGCGGACCGAATCTTCGACAGCGTGGTTGTTTCAAGAGTGACGTTGAGAAATGGTGAGGGCGAGTGATGTTGAGGAATGGTGAGGGCGAGAGACGTTGACGGGGCGGCGGACGTGGTACTAACTCTCCCTTAGGTCGACGGCGTGCCGACCTTTGTAGGTTATGGTAGGTCGACCTTCTCAAGACGCAGGGTGCGGCGGCTTTCGCCCTTCGTGTCAAAATGTCTTCACACATTAGTACTGCTCTCATTCACCATAAGAAGTGCGCACGTCTTGTACAGGCCACCAAGCAAGCACGACAGGGAAGACGTCGCGCTTGAGGACGTCAAGAATCGGGAATGATGTCAGCAGCCAAAACGAGTCAAGATATCTGCTCTCGTCACCAAGGTCCTAACAGTGTCGCCGTTACTTCATTCACAGGGGAGGAAGTTGCCGCCCTACATATGGCCCAGCACATCCTGGACAAGACCGCCTCCCGGATGGCAGAAAGGGCTGAACTCGTCAACAGCGCCTCGCAGAGGTTTACCCCTTTCGCCGCTAAGGAGTTCGAGGCTCAGCGCGCGAAGTCCAGCAAGTAAGTGGTACAGACCATCGCCTGCGTCTGGCGAGGAGACGGCTTGTGCTACCGTTCTCCACGAGGCATTTGGCTAAGCGTTTCGGGACAAAGTCAGTCTGCATCTAGACGTTTTAAGTGGCTTCATTGATATGTGTCCCGTAAAAGGCGGCGAGATGACACGTGCAATCGTTGTTTGACACATTTTTTTCGCTTTTTTGGCACCCCGGCGCCATCTCTTCGCCCCCGGTGCGTAAATTCCACAAAGGGCCTTCCACAAATCCATGATATCGTTGAGGTTTCTTGAGGCACCCCGGTGCGATGTCAAAGGCCGGTGCTATCTCCAGTAACATACCCATGGGGCCCTGTTGCGCACACACGCCAGCAGCATTAGTCTCGGGTTGTATGCATATGTTGTGTGCTTGGGTGAGTATCCGGTTGGGAACTTCCATTCAATTCAAAAGCGAAAACAAATCCGTCAAGTTTTTCAGCTTCGCTGACACGGTCCCCACATGTTCCACATGTAAGTTACCATATATACTTGTGCCTCTTCCCGGCAGCTCGAAAAGACGTCAATCCTGGGTTTGGAGTAAGGAGATTTCTCCGAAGCCGGTGCAAAAATCTAATACAATCATACCGTTCTTGTTTCATCACCTTCGTTTGGTTGTTGGCGTTGTTTGTTGTGGGTACCGGGTTATAGCCTCTCTGACCGTTGCCATCTCTCCGTCGATTTATGTTTTGTTAACGCTGGGGTTGACGTGTCTGCCTTCTATGGCAACTATACAACAACCTAATTTCGTCCTTTGCTGTCCATCCCACGACTCGCGCCCGTCTTCGTATCACAGCCTGCACTCCAGCGCCACCGGGAACGGCAACTTCACTGTTCGCAAACTAGGCAGCAACTACGGCAACCGAGTGGGGCTGGAGTTCGGGACAGATGGCGTGGTGACTCGCATGACCTGCACGTGCGGCTACTAGACTCGATTCAAGATCCCGTGCTGCGATATCATCGCCGTCGGGCGAGGTGAGCAGTGACAGTTCCGGCATTCGTATCAGTGTGGCGCAGCCCGGTCTGACCGGCGAAAAGAGGTGCAGTGTTGCTGAGTCAAGTGTTGCCACAGCCCGCAGTGGCCCGCCGTCCCGCTCATCCCGCCGTGAAAGTTGGTAGACGCGTTTGAGCTTATTTTCCAGGAAGCACGAACGGGTGATAGACGCTGTCCTGGAACACTAGGATTGCGTTCAGTCAATGCTTTTCGTCGGGACTGCGTTGGCGGTCAACTTGAAAGAAAGAAATATCCTGCCATGTCGATGCCTCGCATGACACTCATGTATGTGCCTTTTCCTCCACCGCCCGGCCCTGCCCTTATTTTTGTCAATGACGCAGCGTTGGACAAGTCCGACGAGATCATGTCAAGCATCGACCCGGCCTACCACCTCGACACCTACCGAGCCCTGTACGCGGACAGCCGGTTCGAGGTGCAGCTGCCGGTGCCGGATGAGCTGGCGGTTGACGTGGACATTCTTCCTCCGGCCTGGGTGCCCAACCAGGCTGGTCGCCCCAAGAAAAAGGGGCCCTCGAGGACGAAGAGGATCCCATCCAGGGGAGAGCACGCTTCGTCGTCCTCCTACAACGTCCGCCTGATGCCCGCCCTGTCTGAGGGCGCGCCTGCATCGTAGCAGGGAGCGCCCGCATCGTCGCAGGGAGCGCCCACCTTGTCTCAGGGAGCTCCCGCCCTGTCGCAGGGCGGCGTGCAGTCTGGTGTTATCTCCGTTGACTAGATGGGTAACAAGTACCTCGCGTTTCGTGACCTCGGAGTTTGCTGTCTTCGACAACCATTGTTTTTTGTGCTGTCGCTCTTGCTGTGTCTTCTTGAAGTTCCTCGGTAACGTTTCCTCGTGTTGTGATTTTACGGAGGGATGGGCCGATGAAGTGGCTGAGCAGCGGCGGTACTGGCCTGGCATGGCATGGCCTGGCCCGCCTTGTTTGGGTTGAGAAATTCCGGGCATGAATCTCGCGCGAGTTGTCGCAGGATGGTGTTGGGCTGTTGATTTTTGACTGTTGGGTGTGCGAGGTGACCGGCCTCCCTTCACACAAGCACGGCGGTCAGTTCGCTGTAGCGCCAACCTAGTGGGGGCACGATTTTGCGTCTCTGACGGTTGTTTTGTTTGGGTAGCTTTGACAGGAAATAATCTATTGTCTCGACTAGGAGCGCTGTGCGTTTTTTTGTCTCGTGTTTCGTGTGTCATTTCCGAACTCTTCGTTCTGTTCCGGGGTCGTTCATCGTTTCACCTTTTCATTCTGTTTTTGGTCCTTCCGTCTTGTATATTTCGTGCCATCTTCGCCTCTTCAGTCGGTCCACGTTAGATATCTGCTGACAGTTGGATCATCAGATGGCACCAGAAAGAAAGCTTTTATCGCCAATACGAGGGACGGTACGTGTTGATCCCGTGTTTCACCTCCGGACTCTACCTCATGCTCCGCGCTTGTTTTGGTCATCCTTCTTGTCTTTCCTCTTGTCCGCACCCTGTTGCGTCGACTTCGTGTGTCAGTTGGACTTTCCACCATTTTTCCGCCCTCAAGCAAGGCACAACGTACAAGTAAGGCTGCGCAACATCAAAATCCACAAACTTTTGATACTTCGCAGCAGCCGCATCACCTATCCTTGTGAATACGCTTCTTTTCACGATGTTTTTCCCCAAGACAGCCCCTTCGTTTGTGGACGCATAGTGTGCTTTTAACCACACACAGGTCAGGGTGACACCGCCAGCCACGAAAAACTGTTGCATGCAAATCGGGGTTGGTTCCTCTACCCTCCTGGAAGAAGTAAGTGCGGGAACAAGTAAGTGTTGCACTTCTAGGTAGCGCCCCGCAGTTTGATCACAGCAGCACACGACACGACGCACTTACGACCAGTTTTGTCAGTAGTGTGTACTTCTCTGCTACCACCGTCAGTAGACTATGTCTTTCAGGGGTTGACAATGACGGCAACATCGTATTTTTAGGGTTTTTGTCACAGGGTCATCCGCGCGCATAGCGGCAGAGACACAACAAGCGAGGGGTACTCTTGCAACTTGATCGCGCACACCGTTCATGCTGCGTGTACCACCACTCTTTATCTTTCCCCATCTCCTGTGGCAAGCCCGCAGTTCCTTATCTCTCCCGGGTACTCACGAGAGGTCGAAGTCAAGGTCGCTGTTTAAGCTGAGGTCCCACGGCATCCACTGCTTGCTGCTCCTGCATAACTGTACGATCCTCTTCCTACACAACGATGTGTCATAGACTGTATCTCGGGTCTTGATCGAGACATAACCACGGCATCCACTGCTTACTGCTGCTGCATTGCTGTGTACGAACGACCTCTGCGTACACAACAACATGCCATACATCTCCGGTCTTGATATGTCTATACATGTTTTCCAGACGAAAGCGACACCCTGATGCTCCTGTGCCTGATGTTTCCGTGGACATATCTGAGCTGAGTCATGTGTTTGTGTGCAGCTCAATTGATCACGTGAGATATTGAGAGGTATCCATCCACCGCCGCCCGCCTGGCCCTCTCCCTCCTCCCTCTCCGATACGAAACGAGAACCGAGAGAGTTCCGCCGTCGGCGGTGGGTTGCAGGAGGGTCTTGC